CCTGTATCCTATCCTCTCTTGCTCGGTAAAGATAATAAATCTAACAAAATTATTTAAGGATTTTGCATTGAGATTACAAAAAAAAAAACGAGTGGTGTTGCTCTGTTCTCTTTCCCTTCTCCTTCTGCATTATCTCCACCATTTTCCGTTTCGATTCTTGTCTGAATTTTCCAGTATTAACTTCTGGGTTTTTCATTTCTCCCTTGAATTCCTCAAAATTTGGTTCCTTTACTCCATTTAGTTCCCCAAATTATTTACTTTCGCCAATTTGGTTCTCTCTGTTTTCGTCAATGAAACTTTTTCCCCGGAAAGCATGACGCCATTTTCCTCTGAGCTGGTTGGTTTCACTATCCCTTTCTACTCCAGAAGCCAGAAGAAACACAATTGCAATTCTCACGGATTACTACTATTTCACAATCGAAGCTTCTTGAGCTGCTCAAGTTCTAACCTTAACCACGACAATGGCAAACCCTTTTCATCTTCGGGAGCAGCAGCAACAAACCTTCAAGCAGCCTCCACACAAACCCATTCACAATCTCTCGGATTTAGAGATACACAGATGCTTAAAATCTTCCATCGAACATGTCGTTTAGGGAATTACATGGAATCTCTGCATCTACTCGAGAGCATGGTACGTAAAGGTTACAATCCCGATGTGATTCTCTGCACTAAGCTCATTAAAGGTTTCTTCAATCTTAAAAACATCCCAAAAGCCGTTAGGGTTATGGAGATTCTCGAGAAATTTGGTCAGCCTGATGTTTTTGCTTACAATGCCTTGATTAATGGGTTTTGTAAGATGAATCGAATCGACGATGCTACGAAAGTTTTGGATAGAATGAGAAGCAAAGGGTTTTCTCCAGATACTGTGACTTACAACATAATGATTGGTAGTTTGTGTAGTAGAGGGAAGCTTGATCTTGCCATGAAGGTTTTAGATCAGTTGTTAACTGATAACTGCCAACCGACTGTGATTACTTACACGATTTTGATCGAAGCGACGATGCTGGAAGGCGGAGTTGATAAGGCATTGAAGCTTTTGGATGAGATGTTGTGTAGAGGGTTGAAACCGGATATGTTTACTTATAACACAATCATTAGAGGAATGTGTAAAGAAGGGATGGTGGATCGCGCGTTTGAGATGGTTCGGAATTTGGAATTGAGAGGTTGTGAGCCCGATGTGATCTCGTATAACATCTTGCTTCGAGCTCTTTTGAACCAAGGGAAATGGGAAGAAGGAGAGAAGCTAATGAGTAAGATGTTTTCGGAGAAGTGTGAGCCGAATGTTGTGACTTATAGCATTTTGATTACTACTCTATGTCGCGATGGAAAGATCGATGAAGCGTTGAATCTGCTTAAGGTCATGAAGGAGAAAGGGTTAACGCCCGATGCTTATAGCTATGATCCTTTGATCGCTGCGTTTTGCAGAGAAGGTAGGTTAGATTTAGCTATTGAGTTCTTGGAAACTATGATGTCGGAAGGATGTTTACCGGATATAGTTAACTACAACACGGTTTTAGCTACATTGTGCAAGAACGGGAAAGCGGATCAAGCGTTGGAGATTTTCGGAAAGTTAGGAGAAGTTGGTTGCTCGCCGAACTCGAGTTCTTACAACACAATGTTCAGTGCGTTATGGAGCAGCGGAGATAAAATCAGAGGGTTACAGATGATATCAGAGATGTTGAGTCACGGGATTGACCCCGATGAGATCACTTATAACTCGATGATCTCGTGTCTATGCAGAGAAGGAATGGTAGATGAAGCTTTTGAGTTATTAGTTGACATGAGAAGCTGTGAGTTTCATCCATCGGTTGTTACATTCAACATTGTTCTCTTGGGATTCTGTAAAGCTCATAGGATCGAAGACGCGATCGATGTTTTGGAATCGATGGTGGAAAATGGATGTAGGCCTAATGAAACTACTTATACAGTGCTCATTGAAGGGATTGGATTTGCTGGTTATAGAGCTGAAGCTATGGAGTTAGCCAATGATTTGGTTCGTATCGACGCGATTTCTGAGTATTCGTTCAAGAGATTGCATAGGACTTTTCCTTTACTTAATGTTTTACAGAGATCTTCGAATACATTTGGTCATTAAGTATAAAAGCAGTAAAATTTGAAAAACAGAACATTTTCTTTTTCATTTTTTGCTCAAAACACATTATGTTAAAGTATCAATCTTTCCTCTCTTTTGTATATCAATCGGTCTATTCAACACAAACGTGAGCTTTTCAAAGACATGACATCAAATGATTAGAAGAGACAACAAGTAGAGTAATCATAGTTGCATACACCAAATTAAAGAAGAGACGCAGAAAAGAAAAAACACCAAAAGAACACAAACGTTGGAACCTAATTGTGACACTTTATATATAATTCATCAGACAGTAGCAGCGAGAGCCTTCACCAAACCATACATTCCAGAGACTGTAAGCACGTGGTCACGCCACTCAACTTTCCCCCAAATTTCACAACTTGTGCGCCTGTCAAGCTCAATCACCGCACACCAAATCGTAGTATTCGAATGGGAGAATAAAATGAAGGATTGGTCACTTCCCACAAAACTGCCATCTTCCCTCCATAATCAGCCAATCTAACACAATCCTCCCTCTGAACAGAATTAAAGCAGTCCTACTAAACCCTCCACAGGTTTCATTTGCCTACCTTTGTGTCATACCACCCGATCACTCCGTTGAACACAAAGAACAAAACGTTCCCTATCTCGCAATAAGCATATTCAGACAAATAATTACCTAGTGCTGGTCGAACAAAACGGTCACCAACATGTCCAACCAGGTCCCATCTACCTTCCTTGTAATTGTAAGCAACCTCCTCGCCTAAGGTATGCACGTGGAATTTTCCGTCAACACATGCGCTTCTCGAGCGAAGAAATATTTTTTTTGCCTCGGGGCAATTCAGGATCCCAAATTTGTGTTGTTGTGTCCAATACATGGAACGAGTTCTTAAAGGAATCGGAATCTTCATCTTTGGAGCATCCTGCTACATAGATCTTTTGATCAATGACGCTAGCAGTTAGTGAATATAGCCCTCTGGACCCTCACGCCAAGTGTGAGTCCGGCAATCAAGAATCGAGACGCTAGATAAGTGAGACCGGCAATCCAAAGTCCTATGTGAGGGGATACAGTTGCAGGTAGCGGATGGGCCAATCTTGTAGATATCAGAACCAACCGCCACGAGATTTGAAAAGTCCCCACAACGATCACAGGGAACTGGGACTTTAGCCAGAATGTACCCTGAGTCATTGAATTGGGATCGATCAGGTTTCCGGCAGAGGGTGAACCACCTAGGGTTTGGATTATAATCGGAACGTATGCACACATAGAGACAACTCTCGGTGTGGCCCAAGAGTGATCGGGCCTTGTAAAGCCCCGGTGAATCAAGGAGAGATGGAAACGAGGGAGAGAGTCGGATAGTACAACCTTGAGACACGTGCGAGGCATTGCGATAGCAAATCATGGGGCAGAGACATAATCGAGGTCGATTG